AATTCAGCTTCTCCGTACCCGCGGGTAACGCGTACGGCCCCGTGAAAGTTTTTTACGGGTAAGTTAGTATCTCGTAAAGCACGGAGTCTAGGAGGCTGAAGTTTTAGGGTAATGACCCTCTGCCCACGCTCAACCTTGCCCATTTAAATTCAGCGTTCTCGCGCTCTTGGGTACCACCTACGGCCTCGTGAAAATTTTAACGGGTAAACTGTTAACTCGGGAATCACGGAAAGATATTCATCCTTCAAGGTTTCGAATTCAGCTTTCATTCGCTGGTGCGTGAAATTTTTAACTGCTTTTCAATAGTTGAACTATTTTTGCATAGGCTAAGTACAAAGCAGTGAAAATCATTAATAGACAATCGTTCGATGGGCTGAATTACACAAAACGCATGATCTCACCGGCTAGTCTGGTGCGCGTTGCCATTTATATCTTTTCTAATAGGTGAGATCTCCTCTTCATGGTCTAGGAGCAACAACGCCCAGGAGTTATTTAACACTCACAAAGGGCATCACAAAAGCTGAAGCGATGCGCTTCTGATGAAGTAACTGCACAGAGTTGATGAGCTCTTTAGGAGACAAAAGGTTTCAGACTGACCATCAAATAATAGAGCATTACACAGAGCAGCTGAAGAAGCAGCCCATTATAGGAGAACCAAATTGTGAAGTGTATCTGATTCTTTTTTGGAAAATTTCCCATGCTCGTTTGAACAGTCATGAAAATTGTTTTCATCCGTTTTGTATTCATTAAACTTTCTGATTCGCATCGTATTAGGCTAGGATTGCCAATTAGCTTACGGTTTCTATCGGTATAAAGTTTTTTTTCATACACCTCGCACTTCTGATCATTCTTCTTTCTCTTCCTGCCTCTCCCTCACTTTACACCTATCTTACAAATTCGGCATATAAACTTTCAGCACATGGCAGTAGGAGGCTGTGCTAATGATTCCCAGTCCTGGTCGCACGCTAAGTTCTGTGTTTACAGTTAAGGGATGAAACACGGGCAGCACCCGAACATGTCTTCTTGCACGTGACACTTAATCCAATCCTTTCCACTTGCTGTTCCGTTCTGTGTGATTGATATATTTTTTTGCAAGTTGAATAATGATTACTTGCTCTTTATTTTAATCAAATTATTTAATTCAAGGTGCAAATTGTACGGGAACAGATATGCATCGAATACGCGTCGGGCGTCAGAGTTTTCCAAGTGGACATTCAGCAGCAGCTGCATTGCTTTTCACATTCCTCTACTTTTATTTAAAAGGTTTGCAAGGACAGCCATGCGTTCAGCTTTTTTAACTGTTAGTTTTCAAAGCGCTGGCAGTTTTTTTGATTTCTGAAATGCAAATAATCCGTTTTTTAGGTCTTACTGATGCAACGGGCAGCAAGCTATTAAGAGTAATTCGTGCATTGCTGTTATGCGCAGTCGGTATGTGGGCAGCTTTGGTGATGACAACACGTGTCACCGATCACTGGCACCATCCCAGTGACGTATTAGGTGGAATTTTGCTAGCTGCCGCTTGCATATACATTCCGGTTCGAAGAACTCATTCCTCGCTGGTTTTCAAAAAGCGAATGCTCAACAATGCACACAGTGCCTGAATCATTCCGCTTTTTTGTTTCTTCTTCGGTGATCTGTTCCTTCAAAGTGGTTTGTGATGTTTGCTCTGGGGCAGATTTCTTCCATTTCCTGCATTTAAGTTTATACGAATTTTTTTTCTCATTTCGGTTGCATTGTTATCGTTGCAGTCGATAAATCGATATTAAATGTACCAGTGAATTTGATCTTTGTGCCAGTGAATCTTGCACGATTTGTACCACTCTTATACGCTGCAGGTGAAGGTCTGATGGTAACGAATTCTCTTCATCTTTACTTATTTGTCATTTCTATATGCATGTATTGTTATTGTCTTGATCCAGGAAATTATGCGATTCTGCCATTG